TCGCTATGTTGTCCTCCGGCTCACGCGTCTGCTCAAAAATCAACATCGCCGGAAGTGACGCCAGTGGAACAACGCAGGATAATTGTTTCTATAATGCGGATTGGCAGAGACTTGGGTCCTCTCTCGCGGTATCCGGAAATAAAATTTTGGTAGGTGCTGGTTAAAAAGTGGTACTTAATCACAGAAAATTCAATTAAAGTATTGAGGTAAGAAAATGTCGTTGAAGACAAATTCAGGCAACTGCTAACCACCCTCACGTTGAGTCTGCGTTTAACTTTTGCGGTGATCATCTCTAGTAAATTGCTATAGGTCGGATTGATAGTAAATATAGGCTTTATAATCTATGTGTTGTTTATTGCTGTATCTTTGTATTATAGTCTAATTAAGTTCTATTGCTCTGCACCCTACGTTATAGTGGGAGTGGACATCTCCCTCTTCGCTGCTCACACGGCGCAATATGCACCTTTTTTATTTATGGCTGCTTACATCGTACTATGCAATTATAAGATATTTTTTAAAATTCAAATATTAATTACAATGCTATCTTCGGCAGACATGCGCACCTACCTGGAATAACACGTGCACGAAAAAGTATCTAGACAAGTACAGCACCCTTGTCGGGAAGTGTTTTTACAGCACAAACGGAATACAGGGACCATTCTCCTCCATCGTGCCCATCTACGACTGGAAGACGCGTGAGATTTTCTTGTTACATCTCGCTACGACGAATCTTTTAATAAATAGAACGCATCAAAATTCCTCAGATGCTTACTACTTCCATAATGTGTTGAATTTCGTTTCATAAAATTTTTATCCGTATAATTTTTTATCAGGGCAGATTTTTGCATTAAGAATTTTATTTATTTTTTATTAATAATTTTATCGGAGCAATTTTTTAGCAGAAATTAGGACCATTAGCCCAAGATACGTGGTTAATCATGTCGAACTTTCTTCAGAAATATTCTTCTGAAATCTTATTTATTACTTGCCAAATATTTAACCCGATGAACCGATGTTATTGTAGGCACCGTGGGAATTAATTATAACTTAACAGTATATATTTGAATTATTTTTCAGATACCATCCCATGGTGGTATCACATCGACGATGGCAGATGTCAAGTTGGCTTTGGCTCTCATTTTCTTCAAGGGGTGAGTGAGCAAAGTTCTTCGGCTGACGTGGAATATGATGAACAGGCTCATACATACAGTATACAGTATATTTTTAAATACTGAATATATGAAAATATTTCAAACATTTTAGCAGAGGGTCGACTTGAGTATATGAGGAACAGACAATTCCGTTAGACTGTCTTAAGTTCATACAGGAAGCCTCTTAAATAATTTTGCGGTTTCTTGGAATAACAGCTATTTAGTATTATTTTAATACAGCCATTTAGTATAACAGCCATTTAATATTCAGTTATTAAGTGTTATTGCTATTATATTTAGTGTATAACTTTATATTTTAGCGCTGCAATTTCGTTATGCTCAATTATCATTGCGAATCCGATAGTTCTTGGTTGTTCATGACGCGATGGGATCAATGTTATAATAAACAAAAATGCGACGATAAAGGAAATTGTGGCGACGACATTTATTATGAACATTAAAGGCTATACATCGTGTTCAGATATGTACAAGATGGAAAGTAAATCTTTGTTATAAGTCATCTCATTGCTTTCTTCAGAGCAACGAGGTGGTTTTGGGTGCTCCTGGGTGCTCCTCGTGGAATGGTGAGTGGAATGCGTCATGTGTGATGGGTGAGTGGAATGAGTCATGTGCGATGGGTGAGTGGAATGAGTCATGTGTAATCGGTGAGTGGAATGCGTCATGTGCGATGGGTGAGTGGAATGCGTCATGTGTGATGGGTGAGTGGAATGCGTCATGTGTGATGGGTGAGTGGAATGAGTCATGTGTGATGGGTGAGTGGAATGAGTCATGTGTGATGGGTGAGTGGAATGCGTCATGTCTCGACTAACTACTTTTTTCGATAAACTTTCAATTATATCTGATAACCAGTTTGGTTTCCGTAAGGGTAGCAACACAACCAGGGCTATATTTTATCTAGTTCAAGACCTTCTTAGGAAGTATCATTCAAAAGATTACTGTGTCGCTTTTTTTCTGGACCTACAGAAGGCTTTTGATTGTGTGAATCCCCGAATTCTTTTAGGGAAGCTACACCGTTATGGTATTAGAGGGACCTTCCTCTCACTTATTCAGTCTTACCTCTCGAATAGAGAACAGTTCGTCGCGTTAAACGAGTTCAATTCACCCATAAAACCAATTAATATAGGTGTGCCACAAGGCTCTGTACTGGGACCTCTTTTCTTTACTATTTTTATTAATGACATTGCTTCATCTCTTAATGTGAACTGCAAACTTTTTGCCGACGACGCAGTGTTTTATGTCTCGAGAAGTTCCTTCGACGAAGTGTGCGATAACATATCGGAACTGACTGTGCATTTGTCGAGATGGCTTTTAGATAACAAGCTAGTAGCTCACACTGACAAAACTAAGTTGATGCTTTTTACTCCTAGACCCGTTTCCGT